AACACGAGAAAAGCTGAGGAAAACCCGGCACAGTTTTAGAGGGATCTACAGAATGCCTCAGCTGAGCCGGTACCAACATTTTGCACTCATTGACCGCTGTGACTTAATGTGTTCCGGTTCTGCTTTTGTCATTCTATTAGCTATATGTTCAGGGCTTAACCCCCCATTACTTAACATTAACCATCCTATTCCCCACCCATTTTCCCCACAGCGTTTGCAGACTAGAATCGATCGGAGCAGGCCGTCTGCGACTGCTTCGCATCTGGAGCTTTGAGGCGTAGTTGCAAATGAAGTCAACGCTGCCTAACAATGGTTCGTCCAAGGTCGGGGACAAAATAAACTATTTTTGACTGCGATACTTTGCCAACTCATGTCTATTTCTTCTTTTCTAATTGCAAGAACAGTATTAGCCCTGAGCCGTGTTTGGGCTTCTGTCGGAGACGATGTAGTCGCAAAGTCAGGGCGATAATGGCGAGCTCCCTGAGAACATTTTCAGTACAGCAGCAGATGTAAAACATAACCATATCAAAACCGAGATTTTGGAAAATGATTAGCTGGGCACTGCAGAGGGTCTTATTCAACAAGAAGTCGATGGATCGAATCGATCTCAGAGCCAATCATCTATGAAAGCATTTAGGCTTCTGCTATTCCTTCACGTCGACTGCCGCGACAGTCCTGTAATTGTACGGACGGAGAATCGGCGAAGTGCAGCTGCAAGGTAACTATCATTCTCACATCTTACTACGTTCCATCCGGTGACTTTCATGATGTCTTACTATACAGTCCATTCACGGGATGGGGTTGTGCCCATGACCAGTTGTTAGCTTAGCTGTGCAGCTGCCTTTTGAGTTAGAGACGCACAAAGCGCCTGTGCGCAAGAAAGCGCGCACGGTGCAGTGAAGTTAATGCACCTCTCACCCTTCTCCGGCTGAATCGGCAACTCTCCACACCACCGCAGCAGCGCTCACAACTAAGCACACTCGATATCCTTGAGATGTGGTAGGCGTGGCTGCGTAGGTAAATTAAACGTGGCCGTGACTTTGGTGGG